ACGTAATACTGTACATAGCGTGTACATAATACTCACATTGAATAGGATCTATCAAAAATCAAAAATCAAGTGGACCCTACTTCATGTGAGTATTATGTACACCTCTATATGCATTTATTATGTACTTGTAGCATTTTTTTAAAAAAAAAAATATTACCAAATTATTGAGTAATTAATTAATTTACTACAAAGCGGACCTGATACTTTTCGCGATAAATACGAACAGCCGTAGCATGAGCAACAATCAAATGGTGAGCCACGATGTAAGGCTCGGTAGCGGCATTCTCGGTTCTATGGCAAGTTTTGTCAGTGTCCGGATGACATCTGTGTAGTACAACTTTGTGTCCGAGTTCGTCTGGAGGAGTTCCGTGCCCTGGGGGAAATTGTCCGTTTACGTATCCAAGTGTCGTGAATGTGCTCGGCTCGTTTATCGTGGTCCAAATTTTGACTCGATCGCCAAATGCTTGAAAGCACACTTCAGCATACTGCGCAAAGTCATCCCTGTGTGGCAACAAAAATTGAACAAACGCTCTTACTAATGCAATTGTGTTTGACTAGCTAGCTAGATTGATTACATTATATATTATTGCTTGAATATTACTTGTAAGTTGTCCCACATTGATTCTATAGGAAAAAATTGGTCTAGCTTATATGTCTGGTGGACTACTAACTCACATTATTAATTAGTTTTGAAATGAAACTTCATTATAGTGCACTTAGGTCCACCCTCTTTATGTTGTGCTTCATCTGGATTCTCTTAATCTTACAATTATAATTATAGATGATTATGTCCCATGAGAAATTACTTACACAATTCTGCGGTCTAAGAAGCCTCCGTATTCATCCCCCAAGCACTTGGGAACATCAAAGTGGAAGATAGTAACCATTGGCTCAATTCCTTTGAGATCAAAATAAATAGAATAAATTAAATAAATTAATTAGTGAGGTATTTTTGTGGTAGTTAGTAAAGCTTGTATTTATTAACCCATATTTTTTTTTTTATTTATTAACTTTTTTTAAGTGGAGTGTTATACCTTCTTTGATTAGCATGTCAATGAGTTCATTGTAGAACCTGATGCCCTCTGGGTTGACACCAGTGCTAAATTTTCCACCTATGCCACAGTTTTTAATTAAATTAAGAAATGAGACATTAAATTGCTATTTTCAAAATTAAT